ATGTAGAGAGAGAGAGAGTTGCTGTGTGTCAAAAATTGCTTTTACAATGCTCGAAGTGCTGCTTCGCCCTATTTGCGCATAATGGCAAATATGCTAGGAAAGCCATCGTTCAACGGTGGAATGATGTGCGATAAAAAAATGAGACAAAAAAGCACCATAAACATAGCAAGAGCATTCGCAATATAGGCATGATCGGCAATATAGCTACGATAGGCTTGGTAGCTCGATATATAGAATTGTTGTGGCACGGTTGCAGGCCCACAAAACCCGTCATGCGTTAGGTCAAGGCTACCTAGGCTTACTTTTCAAGCAATACGCTTTTATGCAGTCTATGAATAAAACTAAAAAAAGGTTAGGTGTGAATATAGAAACAAACTAAAATCTTCTCTTCATTTTAAAAGGCCCTGTAAGAAGCAGGGCAAATGCTTGTGCTCGATTCGGTAGGCAATCCTTGGTTAACGAGAAAATAATTAGGGCTGCCCCTAGTGTACTTCAGCATCTAATTTGGTCAAATCACAAAAATGCTATATCATCAACTATTTAGAAATGTTTCGAGTAAACCTATAACTCACTAGAGTACAACAGAAGTAATGAAATAAAGACATGTAAAAGCTCACTAAAGAAATATGAATTAGCTAATTAAGCACATTAAGTTATACGCATCTCACGCTTAACTTACAACGCCACACAAACTACTAAAATTAGTTATTTCCACCTAATAGTGGATAAGCTGTAGCTTATGGGAACGGGTGCGTCAACTGTATTTGACCTAATTGCCGCGGCCCCTTTGTTTGCTTTGTAAATCGCGGTCCGTTAAAATTGTCTTTATTGATGAGGGTTGTCCGCTACCTATCTGTTCGCCTCACAGAAAAAGCCAAACATCGATTATCAAGTCGCCGGCTTCTGCTAGCTATAGCACTACACCATAGGACAATTTTCAAGAGACCCAGCAAGATCAGTGGAACGCGCTGTTCTTAGTTACATTAGTTTAGAGGTCTACTCGGTGATTTATTCTTAAGCCCTGTTCATTGCAATCGGTGGTTTGCCCGCAGAAACTTATTACAAAATATAGCTACGTTTCTTGTTTGTACAGTTCGATAAACTGTGAACAGTTCATCTAAGCTTTGGCCTAAAAAAATGATCCACGTAGACGTTTGTCGTCATTGATGTCGTCGATCTTATGCTCACCGTTTTTTGTTTCCACCGCTGCTGTTTTTTGCGAAGGTTCCACAAACGCTAGCCAATTGGTAGAGAAGCTCATGCTGCTGAGGTAGGCCGTGACCTGACTGGATTGCCTTAAGTTCCTGTTCAAGAGCGTTAAGCAAATTGTACGCCTCGGCTCTGCTCGACGGCAACGAGGGGACTCCGTGGCCAGCGGAGTGGCCCTTTCGTGATGATGAGGCAGAAAGCGTGCGATACGATTGCGTCCGATGGCCCATACCCATTCCGGACCCGACCCGGACCTCATCACCGACGGTGTCAGGACACTCGTGGTAACGCCGGCTTTTCGCTTGAATTGCCCGTTTTAAGGTACCATGAACATCGTCGCTCACCATCGATGTATTGATTCGGCTACATGATCGGCTGCTGCCTCGTTTCAGACCTCCGCAGGGCAGTACTGGACCTACGGGTCCTTTGACACCTCCACTGGACATCGTTGTACCTTAGATGAGCGCGTTAACTAGCGTTGAATGCGTGAGGACGAAGAATGGCACCGATGGGGATTGTAGCAATCAGTTAATGCTTAGTATAATATTTTCACACACATGCAAACACGTCCGTTCTTCAAATCGAGTACAAAACTGTATTTGGAGCATCCGAATGCTGGCTCACTGGTTGGTCAAAGAGTGCAAAAAACTACAGTTCACCATGCGCCGTGTGTGAATGCGAGATGAACTTTCCTTGCCGACGATTTCTTCTCCAGGTAACAAACTCACGTTGTGTTTAGCTTCCAAATACAAAGCCTTCAAACATCGACCAGCTGCTCTGTGTAATGGAGGAAAATTGGTGAGTATCTCGCTTTTCACTATCCTGTGTTTGAATTGTACTCATGCATAGGAATACGCACTTCTTGTGAGAATTCACACACATTTATTACTGAGATTCAATAGACAGAAAACCACGAAATTCCCACAAAGCTCCATAGGCCTGCTTTTTCAACAGGTACTGGCTCGTGCTGTCGGTTAGTGGCGTTGAAAACGAGGTAAGCAGCTAATTGTGAACCGAGGTCGGAGTTTGAATGCTGGCCATCCGTCGGCCAACTCGAACATAAAGACCGTTGCTTGGCCCTACGGTTAATCAACTCTAATGCGCGGCTCGAAGCCCGCGTGTACTTTCCACGAAATACGAAAATCGAAAATAGACCAACACGGAATTCAACTTACTTCAACGGACTACCACGGCCCCCACTATTGACTTCAGGGTTGGTGCGTGTTCTGTACCTAGTCTCCTCGGTTTACAGCTACGCCATCAATGGCCCCACAAAACAACGACCCAGCCACACGGGTGTGTTCACCAGCTGACGTACGGGTCTCGGCGGCCATTCAACTGTCGTCTTGTATAACCTGGGTGATGGTAACTTGGCTGGCTCTGGCTTCAGTCCTCGTCTATCCGCTGGTCGTCCACCGCCGAAATCCTCCGCCTCGCGCCTTCAGACCGCCTGGGTCTGCTTCTGACCTTGCCCCGCTCTCTTGCTGCTCCGATATCTTTCCTGTCTGTCGGTCTCGGCACCCATCGCGCCTAGAGCCACTAGTAGCAGGCAGCAGGAGAACCAGGACTAGGATGCCGCCACCTTCCGAAGGCCACCCTCTCCCGGGCCCTTTGCCGTTGTCGATGCCCTCCCTCAATCCTCCGCGGCTCACGTGTATCCGCTGTGAATGGAATTGTTCGGATAGTTTGCGTTCGGTTTGCTGTGCCCCTCTGCGCAGTGGACGCCTCCCTTGGCTGCGCCTAGTCGTCGAGAAAGTCGGCAGCCGATGACCAACGGCCTTTTTTCTATATGAGAACTATAGTGAGTTCCAGTGGGTTGCCCCGACAGGGCGCGGAGAACTGAGGGCAGAGTATCCTAGGCAGAAGCATAATCTCTGTTCCACACATATGATGAACTTCTCTTCCCAAAACCCTTTCCACGGAGAGCAAATGAAAGAGGAAGGCTACTGAACACAGCTGTTCATAGCCAGCAATGTACGGTGGGTCGAAGCGGGTTGAATTGGCGAAAAACATACGGGAGCCAACGGGAATTTATGCCCCTGCCGGGACAACTGTCAGCCAATGTAGCCGCCAATGAAAGCATCCAACCGAGCCTTTTCCTGGGCCACGTAAAGATCACGAGCAGCAATAGTGTATTGTTATAGGGCTAATTTGTACCTTTTTTATCTTTCAACCTTTTTCACACCTGCCCTTTGATGGACCTAGTTTCTGTAGAGGTTGAAATTTTGCAACAATAAATGCGTACGCGTTCTTCGAAAGTTAGTAAGTGCTATGAGCAAAGGTAAAATCACTGAAAGGTTGGACGCACGTGCGAGATACTGTAGGTTGTGAAGACTGGGACATGTTTAAACAAGACTTGCAGATGATTTTGTATGGACGCACACTCAGGGGTTTGAATTGTTGACATATTAAATAAAAGTATGTTTACAATAACTGTTAAGTCAGCCATGATTAAGTATCTAACAGCATGAGGATGAAGAAAAAGTTCAAGGGAATCTGTTTCTCCGTGAGCGCAACATGTAAAGGAAATCCTATCGGATTAAACTTAACATGATAGTCCAAAAAAAAAACAAAAATATGCTGTTTTATTTGCTACTATCCAGAGCGTAGTTGATTAGTGTTTTCTTTTAATAACTGTAAAGCTGATATTTGCTTGGCAAGCGCTGTTGTGAGAAATTGAATAATTTTGAAGTCAATAACGACTATCCGAGTGGAAATATTCAGCTTCAACCCTTTGCCAACATTAATTATTACGTACGTTTTAATACGCCAGATTTACGAAGCAAATATCACGAAATAAGAAGGTCGTGCTTGTAAAATAAATTGACACAGTTGAGAAACGGACTACCTAGAGATATCTAATTTAGCACCTTATACTGGCGAGTTAGTTCTGGCATTACCACGGAATGTAATATTTTTGTTGTATCATGGATCAAAAACTAAAATCAATGAAAAAACTCAGTTCCTTAAAAAAGCTTACATATAAATAAATTTTAAAGTTTACTTCTACTGGCCAGCAAATACAAGTGCGTAAACATTTTTTTTTAATTTTAAAACTTGTTTTTGCGAAGTGAGTTGATAATTAAAGAAATCTTGATAATAAAAGTAAGCTTCCGTTGGGGCACTTACGTTTCGCGTAGCGTTTTGAAATTGTCTTACAAATTGAAAAATCTGCATTTTTGCAATGTTACTATTGCTTCAGTGAACTGAAGTGTTTTACAGACCTCGAAAGCTTTGAGCAGCTCTTTAAATATTGTAAATTCGAGGTGATTGTATAATTGACCTGGTTAATAAAAACTATTGGTTAATGAGTGGATGATATACTTGTTACTAAAAAAGTTGCAGTGGTATTATCACTAATTAAATAATTAATATCTAATTAATCATTTTTTCATTGCACTCAGTAAAATTTCATTACCCAAGTTCCTCATGCGCACATGCAAGGCAATGCAATCACGTACTTTGCTTGGAAGTCTTTTCAACACAGCTATGAATGAATTAAAACGTTCTCCTTAAAGTAATGCGTCTTGTCGGTTTTGTAAACACTTATTACTCAGGTACCTTACGCTAAAAAGATCTCTTAACAACGTGATGCCACTGTAAGGAAAACGAGCATCTTTGACCCAAGTTAGTTGTGTGAGTCGTAACTAGTTGTTATTAACAAACTACTAAAATTATTATATATGAAAATGTTATTAGAACTCCAAAAAAGTATCCGAGATCTTTAAGATCCCCAAGATTTCTTCAATAAAATGCGTGGCCTAAACTTAGGCATACGTGTGGTTTCCAAACTGACTATGAATCATTGGCGAAAATGTGTTCAGGTGGGCCAAGCAATCTATAAAGTGACTTCTCAGATTTTCTAAATTGCAAGAAGGTTAGGTTAGGTTAGGTCCAACAGGTAGGTGAACATACTTTGTCTCATGCTGGAAGGAGTCAACTGTCTAAATCAATGCTTAGTTGAGGCAGTACCGGACCTTAAACTAAGTAATGCATTCGTTTATCATGTTAGAATTTAGATCGTGGATATCTCATTGTATAATAGTTGTTTAGACTTTATTAGTCGTTGGTAAAAATAGCCAAGCTCTGAAGTAAATGCGCAGTCGTTAACGTTTCCAATGCGTTTGATCGCTCTCGAAAATACGCGCGCCCTGTTTTATTGACCATCTCACGGCCGCCTCAACGTTACACTGATGAATAAGCAGATATTTTGTTACCTAAAAAATGAAAAACCTGAGATTACCTTAACCCTGATTAAAAAATTTGTTTTTTTTTGTTTTGCTTAACATCACTTACCCGATGCTGGCACTTTGAGCAGTCATATTGGGTTCGTTTTTGCCTTGTTTTCTCGTCTAAATTTCTCTTCATTTATAGGTTACGCTTCACTGACCACAATTCAGCTTCTTCTGTGTTACTACTTTTCTTCTAATCCTCTCTCTCTCTCTCTCTCTCTTCTTTGTTTGTTATTATATATACATATGTAACCACTATCCTTTGCGTAAGCGGCCGCTGCCTATGACTACCCCATCAACGGTACTCGTGCAATAAGCGATGAGGGCATCGAGGTTAGTGTATGGGAGCTGTGCTTAGGTGTGTATGGGCGCAAGTGCTCCAGAGATAGCTTCAATGGATAACAGCTGCAGCGGTGGAAGTGGTAATAGCTGAGACGTCATTGGAATGACGGCAAGAGACCACGGTCGAATATGACCATGACGCTGGTTCTACGGCCTGGATGAATCTGTAGAGTCATTAACGCACAGAAGGAAGAAAAGCCTATCGGAGGACGTGATGTGCTCCCGAGAGACAATGAAGCTTATTTCTAGGAGAGAGCGAAAAAGCGTTTCTTCTATTAATACTTTATTAGTCCATCCCTTTCTTAGGTTAACTTATATTTTTGAATGAGGAGTGTGCCTTTCTTGTATTTTTGCCTTTTTCTAATCTGTATAAAATACTATAATATAGCGTTTCTGCAGTTTCTTTGGTTCGATTTGTCAACGGGATGAGGTTGACGCCGACACTAATAAGAAGACGATATCCGTTTAAGACTGTTGCACTCCTTTCCCTATGCCCTTTATGGCAGAGATTTTCCGTTTAGCGCCTTTCTGTCTTGTTCTTTCTCTTGGTATCTATTTTGTATTGTGACAACAGCTACGACTGTGCCCAGCTATATGTGCTCTTCTCAAGCAAAGGCGTTTTGTACACTACCACCTCGATCGCTGGCGTCACCTTTAACGCCGCCCCGTTCTCACTATTTCGTCGAACGAACAGCCGATGCATGGATAAAGTGTGCCCATTCAGGTACAAAAGCAGTTATCGCCGCTATCGCAGTACAACAACAGTACCGAGGAAATAGAACAAGGCATCGGTGCCTGAGTTTTCTCCTTGTTCCCTTTGTTTGTTTTCTTGATGGGCCTTTCTATTAACTGAATCGTAAAGGTCCTTCGTTTCCCTCGCCCCTAACCTCATATTTTCTTCTGTCTCATCCTCTCCCTCTGGAGCTCGCGCCTCTATGCTCGACCTGCGCTACTTCACCTTATTATTAAACTCGCGTTGGTGATTCCGCTGCTAGGTGTGGCGATGCCCCTTGTTTATCTACTGTGGCTCAGGCCTTTATTACTGCTCCTCTATGGTGATCAAGCGCTGGGTGTTCACAAATGTTTGCTGTCTTCTTCTTCTTCTAGGGATGTAGCAGAAGCACATCGTCATTTTTAGTCGTAAAGGGTGCGCCTCCCTGTATATGTATCCGAATAGATTCGAAAGATTTGTTTCTAGATGAGATATTCGAGGTGGCCGGGGCTCTTACTATTTATAAACATCGATTGGACAACAGCTGGTCACGAAGAAGTGCTGTCTGGTTGATCTTCGTTGGTTTAGTTATTTCATCTAGCTTGTCTATTTGGTCGATGGTTGGTTTGGATGCTGATCTTTTTTCTAACTCGTATTAATCTTTCTTCCAGTATTTCTGCTCTTGTTGGTATAGCTCATTACGACTTTGACGGTCAGTCTGGGAACAGCCAAAGAGATTGCTGAATTTCTCGAACAGTCATCAATCCTGCGCATGTACCAAGCGCCATATATCAACGGAAATCGCATCCGATACCACTACACTTTAGACACAACTGTATGTCCCACTGCAGCAGCCACGGATTTTTCAAATGAAATATAATTAGTGGCGTGCTCAGCAATTCTAGATGTCAATCGTTGTTAGTACGTACGGTGACAACGACAACATCAATCATAACAATAACAACAACTCTCATTGGTTCCACAGCAGCAAGCGCTATCACGCTCCAAATAGAGCGTGCGCACCAGGACACAGCGGAAAAGGAACTATTTTGGTGCTTTTTTATATTCTTTTGCTTTCGCAAAGCTACGTAACCAGTTTTACTTTGATGACTTATTCATGTCGCCTTCGTCAGAGCTTGATTCTAGCAACAGGAAAACACGAGCGGCCAATTTAGCCTAGGTTAGTTGCAATGGTTTAATTGTATTGTTTCTACCCGCTGCTGTTTGCGGGTCGCCATTGCTTCTGGTAGGAACCGCCGTAACAGAGGCAACAAATAGGCAAATTGCAGTGCAGGAGGCAAAAACGCAATTGTAGCCTTGACGCATCCCCATAATTAGAAGACGATGTATAAGTGGATAGTACGTAATTAAGTGCGACAAGATTGAAGTGCATACTTGAACACCAGTCATTGACTACGAACGCTACTCGATGACGCTGGATATGTTTCGTACGCTCGACAGCAGTCGAACAAGTTTGTAATAATGGCTGATGACTTTCGCTAGTATATTCTGGCATATAACTGTCAACTTTCTTTATTCATACAACCTGTGCAACATTCATGTGTCCTTACTACGGTCCGCAGCAGTGATCCTACGTTTTTGCTTATCATAACATATGCATCATCCTAATTGCCTCAAACTGGCCGCCCAGTTGGACCGAAGCAAAAATCTGAGGCACGACATACAACTTCTATATGTACACACTTTTACACTGATTACATGCAGCCATTGCAATGCACCGTGATCGCACCATTCGATACTACTTTTTAAGTATGTCGAGCTTCTTCCGGCCAACAGCGTGGCATACATCAACTAGCGCATGAACTAGTCAATTAACATCGATAGCGCGAAGCCTCTGTACTTCTGTAGAGGTGCCTTAATTTCTCGGCATCACTCACAAATGCTACAAAGGCAACAGCATCGGTGGCTGCATCAATAAAGAAATATCGTCGCGCGACGAAGTGCTGCTACCATAAATGTCGCACGTGTGCCTGGAGCGCTCAAGATGACGCGGAGGTTTAAAGACCACAGACCGTTGAAGACCGTTGAAAAGACGTTATCGTATTGAGCACGACGGTCAATGTTCTTTCAGTGTCATCCTTCTTTTTCGAAAGTATTCTTTGCCTGCAGCAATAAGGATAGCTGCAGCAAAAGCAGCCAGAGCTTGGGTAGTTGGATTGTGGCACCCCTTTAGGCGGCTACGCGGTTTTAGGTCGTCCTGGTGACTTGAGAATAATCCAGGAATATGCAAGGGCCGAATGCCGTAAATGATTTTGTTACTCTGTTGTACACGGAAAACGTTCAGAGCACATAGCAGTGCAGCGCAACATTGAATAAGATTGTACCATGCAGTATTTGACAGCGATGAACAAAGGTGTCGGCGATCACGCAGGAGGAGAAACGTAACCTTGTTTATTTTTTCTTAATATACGGATACACACAGACGTACACACGCACAAACATGTAAACCCATGCACACGACCAGACACTCATAGACAGGTACACGGGCATCTGTACCCAGGACATCCACGAAGAGTCTCTACTCTGTACGGCTGGGACCATGCTTACGAAGTGGCGGCAGCCCTTTCGCAGCTGTTTGGCCGATGCTGGAAACGGCCCTTTCCACGACCGCTTGGCAACGGGGGGGAGAGAGAATAAGAGAGAAGGGAACACGCCATCGGGCCCTAAGCAATACCTGACGACTAGCGAAACTCGGTTCATTGAGCGAATACGCGCCAATTGTAAACTGAGTGACGGCGACGGCTGTGAACGAGCGCGATGACGCGCGGGTAAACCGACAGTTGTTATGTTCGAAACTTAGTGTAAATATTTGAATGTACAATATGCGTATGTGGTGTGTATCTACGTAAACTAGAAGACAAAACAACCTAGTTTTAGGTTGGACCTGAAAGGAAATAGAATGCTCGACGGGATTTGATGGTTCTGCCTAGAAGTGAGATCATGGTGTTGTTCCTTGAATAGAACTTGGTTTTGTTAGTTACAAATACGCAAAGAAGCAGCTTGTGAAATGTTATCTTAAACATTACTAGCTAATAAGGTGCTGAGTCTAGGTAAATCAGTATTCTACAAACTACGTCCTTGGTCTTCGCTATGAACAATACAGATACGATATGCACAGACAGGAACAACGATTTGATAATAGTTGTTCCCTTTAGTTAACTGTTACATAGTACTGAGCGAAATAGCACAGAGCTACAATACTTCTAAAGAGAATTAACCTGGAGGCGTTGAACTCAATCGAAGAACAAGCCACAGGAACTACCAAAATGTCACATTTTAAATCCATCTTCGATTAAGAAACTAGATGCTACAGTTTTATTGGGAGTCAAATGACCAGTAATCACTAATAATTAAATAATACTTTGAGTGTCTGTCTGTCCCATGGTAAAATAATCATTTGAATTTGTTAGAAATTAGAGATGTAAATTAAATAAAAAAATACCGAAGGCATTTATTAGGTATCTATATTATACAGCGTTACGCTTATGCTTTTAGTTCGTTGTTAAAACAAATTATTGATAGTGCGATTTATATTTGATAAGCATAGCTGATTTTAAATATAAAAACTGAAGCGTTACTGAGTTCTTTACTATTACCTAAGCAATAT